TTTTACATTTGGATTTGTGTAGGGCTGGCTCCTGTTTGGGATAGAGAGATTTGGGGGCAGAGTTGGCTCCTGCTTTTAAAAATCCTTTTGAGGAAAAATATATTTTTCTGCCCTCTTAATATTTCCTTCTCTGGGGCTTTGACTTCCCACAGTGCTTTTATCACAAATCACTCATCCATCTTAAAACTTTTATTTCAGAATTCAAAGTTCAAAATTTAAATTCAATCAAGAGAACACTAGAGTACTTTCCACTTGGAAAATTTGTCAATTTTTGTGTTTATGCAAGAGATGCATGCTTCTTTTTTTTTTTTTTTGACTTGGAAAAATGCTCCCCAAAAATAAAGTTTTTAAACATGTGGCTAGGATCTCACACAATCTCACCAAGGCCATGGCAAATTATCAGCCCAGAAGAATTACTCCTCCCTGAAATCTTCCTATAAATGTAAATTAGGTACTTACTTAACAAGCTGTGTTAGCATTTTAAATGCTGCCTTGAAGATTTTTTAAAAAAATCTTTGTTACCTTTATTTTTAAAAATCTTAATAGAATTACATTAACATTCAGCCTACCTCTGAGAATAATCAAGTTGTTTTACTACTATTTTAACACTTTTCTTCATTTCTTCTACAATTTATTTATTTGGGAGGATGCTGGCCTACATACAGAACATGCCTTGTTGATCTGGGCTGCAAACTCCAGATAATCACTGGGAGACAGCAAAGTTTTAGATATTTTTTTTTAAATTTCTCTTGCATTCTCATCTAATGTTTGTCTGTATTTCTGCAGCTAGGGTTGAGAAAGAATTATATTTCCTTTTCTCTGGGTGATAAGAGGGGAAAGGATAGATGAAGAATCCTTACTTTTATCTGGACAGCAGTGCACTTAGTTAAATAACTTAAGACAGAGAAGGCCCCAAGGTCATTTAACAGGGAAAGATTATCACTCAACTATAGAGCACAGGTTTTACATAATAGAAGGTCCCGGCTGAATTACTATCTCAAGATAAGTTCCAAAAAACTTCTTCAATTTGAAAAGCTGTTGTTCACTCTCTTTTTCTCCCCCCAGGCTTGCACAACATTCCAACTAAATCTGATTCTGAGTAGCTCAAAATTGTACTAGAAACATTTTTCTAGTAATTTCTCATTAGGTTTGGCCCTCAACTTTGGGGGGGAAAACCATCCAAACTCACCTACTCCTGCTACAGTAACAATACATGGATATGTATGAACATACTAGGATAGTCTGATAATAGTTGGATTCAGAAACACATTAAAATAAATCTGAACAAACTGTTTTATGACTTAGGACTGTATGTTATGGATAGTTTATCATTTACTGATTGAAGCACCATCAGTTCTGATTATGAACTCAAATGGCATAGGTCATAAAACCTGTCAAGCTACAAAACCATAGCAATACTGATAGTACAAATCTCTCAAACACATTTTTTTTTTACTTATTCAAATAAATATCTGGCTAAGTAGCTGAACAGTGGCAGCAAACAATTCTGCTAAGTACTTTTTAGATTTTACTTCATGCTTCTCCAACTTTTCCTATTAAAAATGGCTCTAGAAGAGTTGACCCATAGCAAAAGGGAAAATTTAAGGATCCAGCATTTCATTGGCTTTGAAATGAAATACAATTTGTACTGTTTGTTAGCATGTGTGTCACAAAGCAATTTGCAAGTGAATGTGTCTTGGAGCCCACAATGGGATTCTTCAATTAGCCTGCAGTTGCAATAATTAAAAGTGCTTCGTTTTATCCATGCAGGTTTTGTTTACTGATGCTTCAGATACAATTTCCAAATTAATGGAATGTTCCATACGTGGACTAAGGAAAATGATCCGTTATGCACTCAATAACTTCTGCAAGTTTGTTAAAAAAAGTGGAAAGAGCAAACTGCATTTTCCCAGCTTATTGCTTTAGCTTGAAAATTTACATGGAGATGGAGAATAATTACAATTCATATTTCTGCCAACAAAATGTATTTTAAATATTTATTTGCAAAGGGAGGGAAGGAGAAATAGAAAAGAATTGTTTTGCTTTATAAAAAATACTACATTTTTGCAAAGTTTAGCAAGGGAGGAGATAGCACACCTATACAACTCAAAACTAGAGTGTTATTTGCTCATGAGGAATCAAAGGAAGGCTTTGCACATATAATGCATGAGTCCCTTTTTCGTTCGAGTCCCTTTTCTGTTTCTCTGTGATTTGTCTGGCATGTCATTCTTCGAGTAAGATAACTACTCAAATAATTAGATCTCAACACTGAGCTTGCAAGATTTCTGTATTTCAGTATCCTTGGTTTAATAGACATAGACTGATCATGGATGGGAAAATACTTACTTTGTCTAAGCCAGACATGTCAAACACAAGGCCCCGGGGGCCAGATGCGGCCCACGAAGCCATCCTGGAAACAGTGAGGGAACGGCCCCTGCTGCCTTGGCACTGGCCCAGGCCTGCCAGGAGGGAGCCAATGTACAATTTTGTGGTGGCCATCTATGCTGAAACGCATTCAGTCTTAGCTCCACAAGGCTGTCTGGAAATAGCGAGGAACCAGCCCCTGCCGCCTCGCCCCACCCCCTGGGTGCATGCCAGAGACCCTCAGATCTGTCCCACTTCTGTCCAGGCCCCCAGACACCCTTGATGCAAACAATGTAGAGCTGGCCACACCTACTCCATCCATGCTCACCCAGTAGGCTGCACCCACCCTGGCCACATCCCCCCCCCCAGGGCAACCGCAATGCTAAGGCGGCCCTCAATGAAATTGAGTTTGACACCCCTGGTCTAAGCCCACAAGAAGCAAGAGAGTGACACACCCTGAATTCTATCTGAATGTTCCTGGGCCCAGGAGGTTCAGCCAATCCTCCACCATCGCTCTTTTGTCACTTCTAGCAAGTTACTTGAGAGGTTCTCCATACTTTTTCTGGGCAAAGCCCAGAGGATTCCATTTTCAGTTCACCTCTTCATCAATGCTTCTTTCCACAGAAGAGTTGAATACTGTATATTTGAAAAATTTGAACAAAACCCTCTCTGCTATTTCTAATGGAGCAGTGACCATAAAGCAGAGGGTTTTCAAACTTGGCCCTTTTATGACTTGTGGACTTCAACTCCCAGAATTCCTCAGCCAGGCACTCCCACAATTCTGGGAGTTGAAGTCCACAAGTCATAAAAGGGCCAAGTTTGAAGACCCCTGCCATAAAGGAATCAGTGGTTAATTTAACAACCAGATTCCTTTTTTGGACTTTGAATGCGTTTGGATCTTTGCCGTGCAATCGCAGGTCTGTTTCTGAAAATATCTGCATTGCAGGATGGAAAAGGTATTGATGTTCCTAAGTCTTCTTGCTTTCGAAAAGAATCCACGGTCTGACCGGTTCGTTATATCAGATCCTTTAACTAGCCTGCAGGTTTGGTTGTTTGCTCTTTCGGTTAGTTTGCTCTCGTGCTAATGCGGCAGAGGACCGAGGGGACACCTATCTATACTAGCTCAACCAGTCTTTCCAAACAAGGAAAACGGTGAGCTGAAGAGGAGCTACAGCTAAAGAGGATCGCTGATGCCGGGCCCGTTCGCGATTGCTCCAGCTCCTGAAATCGACAGGCGGATAAACTGACCAGCCTCTCTGCGGTGCAACTTTCTCTTGCACGTCTATGGAGATTCTCAATTAACCAAGGTCAGGGTTGTCCCAAAGAGCCTTTTCCAAAAGGCAAGGTTTGTCCAAAGGGGAAAAACAAAAAACAAATTCCAGTTGCCTTTTGGAAAAGAACCTTTGAGATTTCTCTTGCACATGCTTTTCCCAGGGCGAAAGACTTCTCGTTTCCACAATTCTTACGAGCGCGATTACTTTTATTCTCCCGTGGTGTTACTGCCGTCCGCACAATCATGCTTGCTTTGGCCGACGGCGTGCATGACTCACTTACTATCCCTCGAGTGTTGCAATGCCGCCTAACTGGTTGCAAGTATTGCAGAGTGTTGAATGTTGAAGAAAAAGAGATATTTCTTCGCCCACTCCCACCCCGACCAAGAAAACCAGAGTGAGCTTCTTTTCCTTAAAGGAAAGTTTGTTTTCTTCTCCGGCGCCGCTAGATCGATAAAGAAGGCGGGCCGCACTACTGGGGTGGGGATATCTATCGACGTGTAACACACCCCTTTGAGGCACGCGGGCTTTTTGCCCGCTCACCTCCATCTCTCGTTAGTCGCCCTCGGATACTCCGACGGAGGGAGGGAGGAGAGTGAGGAGGAAAAAGGGGCGGGGGTCGTCCTAGAGGCGGAGCTGAAGGGGCGGGGGGCGGTGACCGTCTGTAGCCCCTTTGTTCGGGCGGGCGGGAGAAGAGGAATTGCACAAGGCGCGCGTCTTTGTGAGGTTCGCCGGGCGCATATCCAGTAAGTGAGCTTCCAGGGCGCGGGGAAAGCCCTCTCGGGATGGATTGGGTTGAGGGTAGGGGGTGTCCTGTCTTCTCGAGCCACGCGGCTCCTTTGCAGAGAGCCCAGTCCCGATTGCGCGCGGGGAGAAGAGGCTCGGACGCCAACATGGGATTCCCGGGGAGGGAAATAGAAGAGTGGGGGGTCGCGTTTAGGGTTTCTTAGGAGTTGGAGGAGCAACAGCAGCCTCCCCCCCAATTCCCCTGGATCGGATTCATGGCCGTTCTCTCCTTTTCGGTTTCTGGGTGGTTGCGCTTTCAGGAAAGGATTCTCCCGTTATGCATGGAAGGCTTTGGTTCCTTTGTGCGATACAGTAATGCTATTCTTTGAAATGCATTGTTTCGAGCCGTAGTCGTAGTGCCGTCCTTTTGCCCAGACCGTGCTTTTGAGCTGCCTGTTAAACGACCCTTTCCCTTTATTTTGCTCAGGACCCCGGTACCCTCCTCCCTTTGCCCCCTAATTTACTATAAAGCATTAACACCAGCCTTTTTTTTTTTTTTATCAGCCCGAGTTTCCACTGGGAACAAAATCACTTCGGAGCCAGATTTTTTAAAAAGACTTAATTGGAGAGGGGGCAGGATGATATATACCTGGGGCTTCAGAGCAGTTAAATGATTCATGTTTTGTGAAGTATGTTTACCCCAGTTTGATAGGAAGGGCCCCGTTGGCAGTCAATACTTGAAATTATATATAGTAATTAAGGATGAAAAGAATTGGACAAATGACCAAGATTATATCCATATGGGTTTTGGTATGTCTGATTGAGGTATATTGGCTAAGAAGGTCCACTTCTCTCTCATTTGGTAAGTTGTGTCTGTTCTTTTGGGCAGCAGTCTTAACCCAGCTGGTTCTCTGATGTTGTTTCTTGGCTCCAGGCACATAGCCGGTTATTGACCATTTTTTAATCCTGAGCAGCTCCCCCCCCTTTCTCTGGCCTTTTGAATTTTAATACTACAGTATTATTATTTAGATTTCTTGAGTTCTGACAGAGGTTCCCCTCAGTTCTGGCTAAAAAATGTGAATACTGAAAGAGAAGGTTTATAGAGATTACCTGATTCTGGAAAGTTGCACAAATTAGTATTTCTAAAGGCACTAAACTGACTGTAATTGATATTTGCCAATACTATTATCTGATCAAGCAAACAAGGTTTATCAGAACGATCTAAATTACTTTTGTCCAGGTAGCAAAACTGTGGTTTGGTGGATAAAGAAATTTCCTGGGGATCTTGTTGATGTTGCATCATTTCTTTTTTAACTCAGCACTGTTGCTTCCTGAAAGAATGAAGGGGAGAGGAGACAAATTTTTCCACTCTGAGAATACAGAATTGTAAAAAGCAGCTACAAGAAAAATTCTTTTATCTTCTACATTCCTGACCTTTTCTTTAGGGCCATCCTTATGTCATTTCCTTACATGCTTGAAACTAGCAGAGAATGTGACAATAATTTTCTATGGACTTAAAATATTTATTTGAATGGCTAGAGTTATTAACTTATTCCAGAATGTAAACTGCAATTATAGCTGTGCCTTGTACCTGTGGACAGTAAATGAAGCCTTATATTCATTTTAAGGTTGGCTCTGGACACCATTCACTTATATGATACTATAGGTTTTTTTAAAGACTCTCTGGATAGAGAGCTTTAGATCCTGCATAGTATTCATTCTTTTTAGCCACAAGGAGCACAAACTAATTGCAAAACTGCCTAAGCCCAGAGTTCACTTGGAAGCTAAGTAGCTCCTGAGTGCTTGCATTGTATGTTTAAAGAAAATAATGTTGGGTCTATACAAAGTGCATTTGTTAAACTGAAGTAATTGAGTTCTGAATGCTGTGAAACAGCTATTCACAATGAGGGTACCTTCTCATATTACATTATTTTCTTTCTGGACATAGTTGAGCACAAAATATTCCTTGCATAGAAATGTTTAAGTGGAGTTTCCATGTGGGAGAGGCACCGGCTCCCAGGATCTTGTTTAATTTGTTTTCTTTACTACAAGTTTATTCACTACCACTATCCAGAGATGTAGGCAAGGTATTTGAGTTTTACAACCTTATTTTGTCTCTTGGAAATAAAACAAAGCTTGCAGCTACCTGCAAACTTTCATTATTTCAGATGTGTTACTTAAGGAAAGAGGGTGCTTAGTGGTAAAGTCATTTTTACAATAGACTCAAATCTGTCTTCTACTATCTCTGGAATAAAACATTAAGTGTTAAACAGGAAAACACCAAATGCATACTAGCAAGTGTTTTGCAGCTACACATATCTTGATAACCAGTGTATTTTGAATTTATTATCAGTAAATGAGTATAAAATGTGAGTTATGAAGTGAGGGAGGATATCCTTTCTCTTTAAAAAAGATATTTAAAAACTGAGTGTAAGATAACTCAGCTCACCTGCCTAAGTTAGTCCTTCTCCTCAACTTCCACTCTCTCCCCACCTGATTCAGGACACACTGTTCTTTGTCCCAAACATTTGAATTACCTTATGTATGCTTTAATTTACTTTAATTCTGCTATGCTTGTTTTTGGCAGCCATCCAAATTTTTGTTTCTTTTGCTCTTTAGTGCTTAGTAGGTAAATAAGTGATAATATCCCGTTGGATTAGTCACCTGGATTTAATCACATAGTAATGATGATAAACTGATTGATTCAGGCAGGATAAAACACTCATGTTAGTTTAGAAACAGGAAAGGCTGATTTTTCATGTGCTACTCATCATGTGTTATTCATTTATTATTAAAGAAAATCAAGTATTGTGGGAATCCAAAGCCTGTAAGAAAGTGAGTTTTTGTGAATTCAGAGACTTGTTCTCTGAACAATTGATAACAATGCATTCTACAGGCATTAGGTACCTTCAAATACATGACATTGATTAAACAGTGCTGTGTGTGCCTCCCTGAACCCTACTGAATTAAGTTAATTGGCACATTCAGGATTGTCACTTTAATATTAGCTGAATGTTTCACTGTTTCTGCAATATATTGTTAACCTGAATATTTTTAGGAATAGTCCTTTTCTTTTACCACTGAGCATGTTTTTCTTTCCAAGGATAAGAAAAAATGCAAATACAAAAATCAAAGGACTATTTTTTAAATCTTACACTGATTGCATCCTTTAGCATCATCTGGAGAGGGTGGGTAGACCTAAGCAAATTTTCCTGTTATATTAAGAAGAGTGCCAGAATGGAAGCATTTGCCATTGCTTCTGTTTCATTACTTCCAGATGACCCTGTTTATCACCCAAGTTTTCTGATTGCAGATTAAATGCAACGGGGATTAAATGATTACATTTGACTGTTTCTAGATCTGTAGAATAGATCATACCTACTGTTATAAGCTGTATGTTTAAATGTAGGTAGGATTTACACAGAACTGACAGCCAGTGAGCTCTCATCCTTTAGTAAGATAAAAGAAATTACATAGTTGGAGTTTTCATGCTTAATGCAGTGAAAAGCCTTCCCTTCCCAGGCACTTTAAACTAATTTGATAACTACACTGTGGTTACCCAGTTGTAATATCCAGTCACTATATTGGGAGATACATGATGACTCAGATATCTCTTGCAGTGATTGCACATATCAGTCGATTGAAAAGAGATTACTTTGGGTGGGGGAGGGGAGGAAGTTACAAGTGGAACTGAGATAAACTAGAACAGTGATGGCGAACCTTTTAGTGACCAAGTGCCCAAAAACTGCCCCCCCACCCTGGTCCCTGCTCCACCCTGCCCACTGGGCCACCCACCACTTCCACTGTCTCCCACAGATCATCCAGGCAGCCCAGCAGTGCCATGGCGGCCACGCCCTCCGCCCATGTCCCGCACCAGCATCTGTGTGCGATGAGGTGCAAGGATAGAGTCTTGTCCCCGCTGCCTGGCTACCATGTCCTTGGTTGCGCTGCTTCACATGGGCTGTGCCCAGGGGCGACTCCTCCGGGAGAGCTGCTGGTGAGGAAGAGGCCATGGGAGGAGGTGGGCTAGGGAGACAGTGCGTGTGCCCACAGAGAGGGCTCCTGGTGCCGCCTCTGGCACCCGTGTTATAGGTTTGCCACCACTGATCTAGAACTTCATGTGACTGGCAAAGTCAAGGGTTTTGATTGTCTTCTTGGTCAGGTCTCTACTCCCATCTGAAAACTTGTTTCACTGCTTTGGGTTTAATTCTCAAAGAGATTGATGAAGGTGATGGAAGCAATAAATAGAGCATTAGGGAGCCTGCTACCTATGATCTGGGCAAGCAAGCATCAGTGAAGAACAGAACTGTGCCCTAGGATTACAGTTACTGCTATGTGGCATCCTTTTATGGGTACCTCCCTTACTTCAGGACACATTCATTGTGCATGAGCACTGGAGCGTCATGCCCATCCCAGGCTACCCGGATGTGGCATCCGTCCAACAACTAAGACACGCTCACTCACAGAAGGAGCTTTTGCCAAACCTCTTTCATGGATTTTAGGGCTAAATGGACAGTGAAGGAATAGGAAAAAGAAAATTCACCCTTGCAGTTAATTGCTTCTGTCCAGTTTGGTTGACTTGCTTCATTCACATCTCTTCAGCCTTCTGTATGAAGTGTTGTGATGTCCACTTAGGAGTTTTTAGGGAGACGGTGTCCATCTGCACTTGTTCTGTGCAAAAAAGCATCTCCTGGTATTGTTGGGGAGAAGGATAAAAATAGCTGCAAGGGGAAAGATTGAAATTGACAGTGAATCCAGCCGCAAGAAAACTTAAAGGCACTTGAATTGTGGCTTTGTTTTTTCCTATAGAGACAATATTAATTTGGGAGAGGAAACTTAGGTGAGGAGTTGAGGAGAGGTGCCTTTTTCTCCTAGGTGCCATATCCCACCCAAGTTGGATCCCTTGAAGTTGCCAGTAGTGATAGAAGATTTTTCAGATACTTCATTTGACCACAAATTTGCCTTGAGCCGAATCTATGAACAGTGAGAAAAGAGGGAAGGAAAAAGCAATTGCTTTCTGAGTCTGTTCTGAGGGGTGATAACTTGCCACCTTTTAATCAATGTAGGGTAGTCAATATATGTTAAACTGGTAGGAATTCATGGCCAATTTTGTATTTCTTGTCTCTTTGCCTCTATAAATTCATGTGTTTCTATGTGAACGTGTGTGTGTGTGTTCATATGCATGCTGGTACATATTTAAAAAGTAATGTATTCAATTGCTGTGGAGAATGTATGGTGTTCAACTGATAACAGATTAGAGAGGTTTTCAAATTTGAAGTTAGTTTTTTAAGGAAATGAAATTAAGCTTGATGTCATCTGGCTTCAGTGGTTTCTAAAGGCCTGGGGAAAGATGGGGGAAAATCCACTTTCAGATCTGAGCATTTCCTCATCTTTTAAGTAGAAGTTGTGTTTGGATAAATATTGATTGAATACTTTGCTTCTAAAGGAAGTTTAAATATTATTTTATGACTGCATGATTATAAATAAAATTAGTCTGGTATTTATTTATTTATTTATGAGACTTATATACCGCTTTAAGTGCAAGCACTCTCTAAGCGGTGTACACCAGTAAGCAATGTATATATATATTTACATTGCCCCCAACAATCTGGGTCCTCATTTTACCTACCCCGGAAGGATGGAAGGCTGAGTCAACCTTGAGCCGGTGAGATTTGAACCGCTGACCTGCTGAACACAGTCAGCTAAAGTGGCCTGCAGTACTGCACCCTAACTGCTGCGCCACCTCGGCTCATATTAAAATTAGTCCATGCTGGTGTAGTTTTCTTGACAATGTGGAATTTTGTTTTTCAATATTGGAAGCTGTTTACTGTTAATTTGTTCCTGGATGTGAAGTTCAATGAATTTTGTGATTCTTGTTAAAAATCTCACATCATGTGGTTCCACTGAAGTCTTGTAGTTGGTGGTCTCATGATCTTATCCATTAAAAAAAATCAAATCTGAGGAAAAGGTTTGGGAAATCTACTGTAGCATTTGAATGCAACTGATTTGCCTTTGGAAAATATGTACTTGAAATCAAGACTCAAGAGAGCAAGTATTTTTAGTTCACGTACATGTTCTGAAGCCCATGAGGATTCAAAAAAAAAAGTTCAGAATCAAACTTGAATTTCCTGGGAAAGTTTTTTTTTACTAGCATTTGAAAAAAAAAAATCTTGAAGTTATTGCTTACAATAATATATAAACAAACAAATACTGTTTTGGATCACATGACTGATGTTATGTAATTTTGTTTGAAGGAAGGAAGGAAGTTTTAAAGTAGAATAGAAAAGCTACGTATTTCCCTCCAGATGTTAGAGAAGAGGCTATACTTGAATAGCAAGTGCTGCTGGTGAAGGCACCCATGCAGCATTAGACAAGTACTGTTGTTTCATCCCTGTTAGGGATTAAAATAAAGTCTTCTGGAATTGTGTTTTGTCAGAGAAGGCAGTAGACCAAAGATTCATAAGCCCCATTCTCTGCTGACATCACCCTGAGCATTTCTCTGAGATTCATCAACTCTGACATTTCTGCAGTTAATTCTTATTATTGTGGGCAGGGAGAAAGGAAAAGACTAGAAGGAAAAAATAATGTCTTTGTCCTATACGGATCATAAGGATCATAAGGCTCCCTATTGCTGTCGTTCCAGGATTGCTCTGTTTGTGTCCATGAGCGTTTTCTTTTTATTTTCTTATCTCAACACTTTATTATTTCCAGGGGTGGGTGGAGAAGAGTGAGGAGAGGGGGATCTTTCTCCTGACCTCTAGAGTGGAATGATATGACAAATTCCTCTCAGTTTAACCTTTTGCCTATTGTGTTTCTTGGCTGCAGGCCTACGCTGAGCCAAGATGAGCTGGAGCTTCCTGACTCGCCTCCTTGAGGAGATCAACCAGCATTCAACCTTTGTGGGAAAGGTGTGGCTGACGGTGTTGATTGTCTTCCGCATTGTCTTGACTGCTGTCGGTGGCGAGTCAATCTACTACGATGAACAGAGCAAGTTTGTCTGCAATACACAGCAGCCAGGCTGTGAAAATGTCTGCTACGATTCCTTTGCCCCCCTTTCGCATGTCCGTTTCTGGATTTTCCAGATCATTGTGATAGCCACACCCTCAGTAATGTACCTGGGCTTTGCACTGCACCGGATTTCACACCAACCTCCTCGAAAAAGCAGGGCACCTGTGGTGCGACATGGTGCTGCCCGGGATTATGAGGAGGCCGAGGACAATGGGGAGGAGGACCCCATGATCTTTGAGGAGATTGAGCATGAGAGGTCGGTAAAAGAGCCTGAAAGCCAGAAACATGATGGCCGCCGGCGTATCAAAAATGATGGTCTGATGACAGCATATGTGCTTCAGCTGCTGACCCGTTTAGTTTTTGAGGTGGGCTTTCTGCTGGGGCAATATATGCTCTACCAGTTTGAGGTTAACCCCTCCTATATATGCAAAAGCAGCCCCTGTCCTCACATGGTGGATTGCTTTGTTTCTCGCCCCACTGAGAAAACCATTTTCCTTCTCATCATGTACGCAGTGAGTGGGCTCTGCCTGCTTCTCAATATCTGTGAGCTCTTCCACCTAGGCTTTGGGGGGATCCGGGATGCACTCCGTGGCCTTAAGGACGATGCTCTGCCCCCAAAGCCCCAATATGCTCAGAAGGATCCCTCTGCACCCCCAACCTACCACTCTCTGAAGAAAGAGCCCTCCAAAGGCCAACTGGCCAAGGAGAAATTGGGTTACAGGGAAGAGAGCATGGCTGCCGAGCGTTACCCTGTGGCATCAAGACTCCCCAGCCATGAATTGGAGCGACTGCGTAAGCACCTGAGGGTAGCCCAGGAGCATCTAGAAATGGCTTTCCAACTGCAGCCGGAGGGTATCGCCAGCCCTTTGCGAAGTAGCAGCCCAGAATCGAATGGATTGGCTGCGGAGCAGAATCGCTTCAACTTGGCCCACGAGAAGGAAGGGGTAGCTTGTGAACGACCTAGTGGTAAGTGGGATGAGGAACAAGCTTTGTTTGGAGGTCAGTGCCAGTGTATTAGAAAAAGTCAACCATCGATGGGCAAGAATGGGACATTTTGGCAGGAGCCCTTATTCTGAGTCTGAATGTGGTTATATTTAAAAAGCAATTAGTGTGAATAGTTGGTTGCTTGGGGCTGTTAGCCGTTGGTCCACTTAGTTCTCTGAACCAAACGTGCCTCTAAGCTCTCTTTGCAGTGTGCCTGGGACACTGAACCGTTTTTCTCATTAAGTGGTCCTTCTTAAGATGGCGAGTGGCATGATGGAGGGGGAATGATTGCGGTGGTTTTAGTGGTGTTTTAAAAAATTGCATCAGTAATCTGTACACTTCTCAGAATTTCTCCTTTTTTTCCAAGTAATTTTATTAAAGACTACCAATAAAGGGGGAATATTTGTCGCTCAGGGTTGAAACGAGGAGTCCTTGGTGCTCTCTAAGCTTGGTTGTTGTCTTGCAGACGGGTCATTATCCAAAGTAGGTAACATGATGTTACCTACTTTGAGTAGTGAAATGTTTGCAAGACAACAACCAAGCTCAGAGAGCACCAAGGACCCCTCACTGAAGACTATAATGACAGTAGGACTTCTCATAATTTCTCCATGAGGTTTGAATTGCCAGCTGTTTTGCCTTTTCCATAGGTTCAAATTATATCATTTGCTAGGACAGGCATGTAAAGTCTGGCATAGAGAAAAAAAAAACATGGATGGATGCTGATGGATAAATCTTACCCATTGTATGGTGTGACAACGCAGAATCGGATATCCCCACAAAAGCTGGGAACCCCCAAAAAGTAATGAAGAGTGGGCAGCAGGATCTGTTCTTCAGGGATTGGAGTGAGAGGCTAAAATCCTTGTCTTCTTATTTCCAGGTCTCTGAAGCATTGGACAACTGCTTGTCCCACAGTTGACAAGAAGAAGTGGAGAGAACTGAAAGCATGTACATAAGTGCACATAAAATAAGCCTGATGTTTGGAAGTACCCTGATGGAAGAGTCGGGGGATGAGAATATGCTTCGATCCTGTTTCTATGGAAAGAAAGCAACAAGGCGATGCATATGAATCACCACTTCCCAGATCTGGCTGGGCGGGGCAGCTGTAATGATTACTTTCATAAGTCTTTATATGTGTGTCTTTTTATGGGGTCTAAAAGGGAAACTTTTTTTTTTTTTTACTTTTATACATGTTGTACAGGTACTGCTGTTCTACCAAGGGGGCATTTTGTCTTTTTTTTTTTTTTTTCCACCTCTTTCCAACGGTACTGGATTATTAGCTACATAGCAATTGCCTCTCCCTCTTTATACTTTGTGTTATTTCAGCTCACTGTACATAAGCGGATATCTCCAACTTCCCAGGATTTTGCACAGGATTCATCTGCGCACGTGGACTCCCTAATTTTTGGTTTCCTCTTCCTTGACCACCAGATAATGGAAGAGATTGGTGGTTGGGCCAAAGATAATTCTGCTGCATTCCAAGATGCTGACTTATGAGCCGCGTCTGCCTTCCTTGCCCTCTGTGGGGGGCTGTGCTCTGTTCCTCCTGAATGGCAGGGGGACCCAAGTCACGTTTTGAGTCATCTCAGAGACAGACATGTTTTTTTTAAATGTTTTTTTAAATGTTTTTTAAATATAATTTACCGGAACGGTTCTGAATTTTTGTTCTTTTATATGGATGTATAATATATACAGTTTATATATATATATATATATATTTGGTAAAAAGAAAGATTTTTTTATAGCAATCTTGATGTCTTGACTCTATTTGTAGGGGAAAAAAGTAATTAGTAAGAAGGTTTGCATAGTTTTATGGATGATTAGGATGTCTTGGTTGTACTCTAAAATCTCAATGAGAATTGCGAAAAAGATGTGGATCCCAGCAAGTCAATAAATAATGTAAGCCAGGAGAAGGCATTGTGTATTTGCAGCTGAGTTAAATCCTTAAAATATTTGGGACTTTCCAACACCACAGGACCGATGCATATATATTGTTGGAGGGTTAATAATTTGGCTTAATTTCCAGAAAAGAAAGTAGATAGGTTGTAACACATCAAAGCTTAATGCACCAATTTATCTTATTATCTTTATTTTTTTATAAAAAAGTCATGAAGTGTGCTATGAATTTTTGAGTAGGTTTATTAAGATGGAGGGTTTAATTAAGATGGAGCTGGGATGTTTTAAGAAGTGCCTTATCCTGGGTCAAAGTTTTGGCTAATTTAACAATCATTTCTCAAGGAGTGTTTTGCCAAAAACTGAGAGGAGGCAAAATTCAGTCACCTTATTGCCAGGCAACGGTATAAGAATATAAGCAGTGTCCTGTCAGATAGGACCTTTGCCCCGCCTTCAGCAGTCTCCTCACAGTGGTCAATCAACTGCTCAAGAAATCCCATAAGTCTCTCAGCAGGTGGCCTTAAGGGCAATAAAGCGGTAATCAAAGCAAATAGCCATTAATCTCCCTGACTTTCATGTACTGGTCCAACTGTTTTCTGAAACCAGCCAAGTTAGTAGCCAGCACACATCTTGTGATAGCAAATCTTAAAATATTGAATTATGTGTACTATTAAAAAAAATCCTTTTGCTGGTCCTGATTCTTCCAGTATTCAGTGTCTTCCTGACAGAGAGGAAGCAGGAAATGGGCCCAGACTGAAAAGCAGCATTTAAGGCATAAGATGTCGGTCCAAGATAGTTTTCTTGCAAAGTTGCTTTGAAATTGCACCTGTGGAAAACGATTGCCTTCCTTCATATGATGCCTGAAGCCAAGTGTCTTCCTGATGCTCTTTGCTGTGCTCTAGCTGAGAAGTGACGAGAGCATAAATCTTGGGTCTTCAAACTTGGCCCTTTTATGACTTGTGGATTTCAACTCCCAGAATTCCTCAGCCAGGCACGCTGTCTGAGGAATTCTGGGAGTTGAAGTCCACAAGTCATAAAAGGGCCAAGTTTGAAGACCCCCAGCATAAATGATTGTTGCAGGATTGTATTGAGCTTAGGGATGACCACTTATATGTTACCCATTTTAATCTATATATCTTGGGGGTTCTCAAATTTTGCAGCACCTAACTGTCAACTACAGGTTTCCACAGGCAAAGTGAGAAAGAAAGCTCAGAGTGCATTTTTACAATGCCCTAAATTTGCTTGTGCAAGTGTGATCGATACTAAATAGTTGTGCCCTAATAAGTTCCTGGAGCAACTTGCTTAGTTAATAACTTAACAGTCTCCCCTCATGGAGTATTATACAGGTAGTCCTCAATTTATAACATTTCATTTAGTGATTGTTTGAAGCTATGGCACTGAAAAAAGTGACAACCGCACATTCAATTGTTGTCCCTATAGTCATGTGATCAAAATCCAGGTGTTTTCTCAATCTGCTGTTTTGGGGATGTGTTCTACCAGCTCAGTGCTCCCCAGGAAATGTAGCTGAAATCATGTTATTTGGCAGTTATGGAAGTCCAGCACATCTCACGGACATCTCATTGTGGAGGCCAAATTACTGGAACTGTTCTCTCTCTCACACACCTTTATAGGGATGTGGCTGGATTGGGTTCTGGGCTTCATGCAAAGAGAAGAGGTGGGGAATTCAAAATTGTTTAATTCATATTTTCTTAAAACTACCTTGTGAAGGTTGGTCCATAAATTATTTCAGTATGCTATTAAATCTGAATTGGAATGAGCCTGCAGAGGAAATAGTGTCTGAAAATGAGAGAAATGAAGCCAGGGTTCAACTTACGTTTATAAACACTCTATATCCGTATATCACCTATATATCTACTGTACAGGTAGTCCTTGACTTACGATCATAGTTGAGCAGAAATTTCTGTTGCTAAGTGAGGCATTTAAGTGACTTTGATCCCATTTTACAACCTTTTTTGACACAATTATTAAATAAAACCACTGCAGTTGTTAAGTGAATCATGCAGTCATTAAGTGGATCTGCTTCCCCCATTGACTTTGCTTATTGGAAGTCAGCTGGGAAGGTTACAGAGGGTGACCACATAACCCTGGGACAGTGCAACCATCGTAAATCCACAAGCTTCCTAATTTTGATCATATAACCATGAGGATCCTGCAATAGACATATGTGAAAACTGGACATGTCATTTTTTTCAGTGCCATTGTAACTTTGAATGGTTACTACCTACCTACCCACCCACCCACCCACCTACCTTCCTTCTGCTTTCAACAAGGGAAATTTCACCTACGAGCCATGTTGGATCACACTAGATCAGGGGTGTCAAACTGCCGGCCCGTGGACCGGATATGTCATGCCGAAACCGCGCCCACCCCAGCTCTGGCAATGGGGAAAAAGTTGCGATACGTCACAACATGTCACGTGACATTGCGAGTTTGACACCCCTGCGCTAGAGGGTCTTCTGCTCCAACATGTAACCCAAGGGTCAGCCTATTGCAAATATGATCTCCAAGGTCCCTTCCAACTTTATTATTATTATTATTATTATTGATCATCGCACAGTCAGCCAGATGTTCAGACTGGATTTGGCATTTTGTCTACCTATCGAGTCCTTACCCAGACCTGGGATAGGCAGATGTGGAGGTTTGATGGTATTACAGATATCGTCGCAGGATGGAAGCAGTTCCTAGTAAGGCCGCCTTTTGCAATTGACTAATAGCGAATTTGTCAATGCCAATGGTGTTCAAGTGGTGCTCCAGTTGTTTTGGGATTGCACCCAAGGAGCCTATCACTATTGGTATTACCCTTGCTTGCTTTTGCCACCGTCTTTCTATTTCTATTTGTAGGTCTTCGTATTTTGTTATCTTCTCCAGTTCTTTCTCTTCTATTCTGCTGTCTCCAGGCACTGCCACGTCCGCTATCTAGACTTTTTTGTCTTTCTTATCGACAATTGTTAAATCTGGGGTGTTATGTTGCAGGTGCTTGTCTGTTTGAATTCTGAAGTCCCAGAGCAGTTTAATTTTATCATTTTCTATGACTTTCTCTATTTTATGATCCCACCAGTTTTTGCTTACAGGCAAATGATATTTTTTGCAGATCTTCCAATGCACCATTGTTGCTACTTTGTCATGCCGCTGCTTGTAATCAGTCTGTGCAATCTTCTTGCAACAGCTTACCAGGTGGTCCACTGTTTCTTCAGCTTCTTTGCATAGGCGGCACTTACTGTCTGTTGCTGTCTTCTCAATTTTGACTTTATGTGCATTTGTTCTTAAGGCTTGGTCTTGTGCAGCCAGAATTAGTCCCTTGGTCTCTTTCTTCAATTTTCCTGCCTTTTTTTAAAATAATAATAATAATAATAATAATAATAATAATAATAATAATAATAATAATAATAATAACCCCCAGTGAGGCACTACCTGAGGCACTACCTTGACGTGGTTGTGGGGCTTGTGTACTCTGAGGAAGATGAGAGCTATGCCAGAGGTTCAACCATACTGGACAGGTCTCATCAGAGGAGTCAGACAAAGAGTGTCTCTCCCATAAAAAATATGGTGAGACGTAAATTTCAGAATGCCATACCGGCTCGGACGTCGCCCGGGTTAACAAGGTCCGCACTAGATATTGGAGTTCCTGGATATCTGGTGAAAAATGGGTTACAGGACTCAGGACTGTTGGCTGAGCAACCAGGGCCAGCAGCTGCAGAACTACTGGAAGAAAAGGTGTTTACCCGTCGCAGATACACAGTGATGGAAAACAAAGAAATAATGATCTGTTACTACAGATCAAGTCCAACAAGACGAATTGCTGCTCAACACTGTCCGTATATATAGCCAAGATATTGTAATGGAGTTTGGCTTGGACAAATGTGCTACACTTACTATCAAACAAGGAAAAGTAGTGAAAACTGAAGGAATCAAGATGCCCCACGAAAATAACATTAAGAATCTGGATGAGGAAGAGTACTACAAATACTTGGGTATCCTTCAAGCTGACAACATCAAGCACACTGAAGTCAAGAAAAAGATTAGAGGTGAATACATCAAGAGAGTGAAGAAGATCTTAAAGTCCAAACTCAATGGAGGAAATACCATAAAGGCAATCAACACCTGGGCAATCCCAGTCATTAGGTACACAGCTGGAATGGTGGACTGGACTCAAGCAGAACTAAAAGCAATGGATAGGCAGACCAGAAAAATAATGACAATGAATCATGCCCTTCATCCACGCAGTGACATTGATAGACTTTATCTACCAAGGCAAATAGGTGGGCGTGGAATGCTACAAGTACATCAGATGGTTGAAGAAGAAAAAATGGCTTTGGAAGAATATCTGAAGAACAATGATGAAGATGCACTGAAATTAGTATATCAGGAAGGCTTACTAACTACTGGAGAGACCAAACTGGCCTACAAGAAAGACCAAATGAAGAACAGAATAGAGGCATGGGAAGACAAAGCACTACATGGCCAATACATGAAAAAAATAGCTGGGAAAGCAGATAATAATAAAACCTGGCAATGGCTAAGAGCAGGAAAATTGAAGAAAGAGACCGAGGGACTAATTCTGGCTGCACAAGACCAAGCCTTAAGGACAAATGCATACAAAGTCAAAATTGAGAAGACAGCAACAGACAGTAAGTGCCGCCTATGCAAAGAAGCTGAAGAAACAGTGGACCACTTGGTAAGCTGTTGCAAGAAGATTGCACAGACTGATTACAAGCAGCGGCATGACAAAGTAGCAACAATGGTGCATTGGAAGATCTGCAAAAAATATCATTTGCCTGTAAGCAAAAACTGGTGGGATCATAAAATAGAGAAAGTCATAGAAAATGATAAAATTAAACTGCTCTGGGACTTCAGAATTCAAACAGACAAGCACCTGCAACATAACACCCCAGACTTAACAATTGTCGATAAGAAAGACAAAAAAGTCTGGATAGTGGACGTGGCAGTGCCTGGAGATAGCAGAATAGAAGAGAAAGAACTGGAGAAGATAACAAAATACAAAGACCTACAAATAGAAATAGAAAGACTGTGGCAAAAGCAAGCAAGGGTAGTACCAATAGTCATAGGCTCCTTGGGTGCAATCCCAAAACAACTGGAGCACCACTTGAACACCATTGGCATTGACAAATTCGCTATTAGTCAATTGCAAAAGGCGGCCTTATTAGGAACTGCTTCCATCCTGCGACGATACCTGTAATACCATCAAACATCCACATCTGCCTATCCCAGGTCCTGGGTAAGGACTCGATAGGTAAACAAAATGCCAAATCCAGTCTGAACATCTGGCTGACAGTGCGATAATCCGTAATAATAATAATAATAATAATAATAATAATAATAATAATAATTATTATTATTATTATCGATCATCGCACAGTCAGCCAGATGTTCAGACTGGATTTGGCATTTTGTCTACCTATCGAGTCCTTACCCAGGACCTGGGATAGGCAGATGTGGATGTTTGATGGTATTACAGATATCGTCGCAGGATGGAAGCAGTTCCTAATAAGGCTGCCTTTTGCAATTGACTAATAGCGAATTTGTCAATGCCAATGGTGTTCAAGTGGTGCTCCAGTTGTTTTGGGATTGCACCCAAGGAGCCTATGACTATTGGTACTACCCTTGCTTGCTTTTGCCACAGTCTTTCTATTTCTATTTGTAGGTCTTTGTATTTTGTTATCTTCTCCAGTTCTTTCTCTTCTATTCTGCTATCTCCAGGCACTGCCACATCCACTATCCAGACTTTTTTGTCTTTCTTATCGACAATTGTTAAGTCTGGGGTGTTATGTTGCAGGTGCTTGTCTGTTTGAATTCTGAAGTCCCAGAGCAGTTTAATTTTATCATTTTCTATGACTTTCTCTATTTTATGATCCCACCAGTTTTTGCTTACAGGCAAGTGATATTTTTTGCAGATCTTCCAATGCACCATTGTTGCTACTTTGTCATGCCGCTGCTTGTAATCAGTCTGTGCAATCTTCTTGCAACAGCTTACCAAGTGGTCCACTGTTTCTTCAGCTTCTTTGCATAGGCGGCACTTACTGTCTGTTGCTGTCTTCTCAATTTTGACTTTGTATGCATTTGTCCTTAAGGCTTGGTCTTGTGCAGCCAGAATTAGTCCCTCGGTCTCTTTCTTCAATTTTCCTGCTCTTAGCCATTGCCAGGTTTTATTATTATCTGCTTTCCCAGCTATTTTTTTCATGTATTGGCCATGTAGTGCTTTGTCTTCCCATGCCTCTATTCTGTTCTTCATTTGGTCTTTCTTGTAGGCCAGTTTGGTCTCTCCAGTAGTTAGTAAGCCTTCCTGATATACTAATTTCAGTGCATCTTCATCATTGTTCTTCAGATATTCTTCCAAAGCCATTTTTTCTTCTTCAACCATCTGATGTACTTGTAGCATTCCACGCCCACCTATTTGCCTTGGTAGATAAAGTCTATCAATGTCACTGCGTGGATGAAGGGCATGATTCATTGTCATTATTTTTCTGGTCTGCCTATCCATTGCTTTTAGTTCTGCTTGAGTCCAGTCCACTATTCCAGCTGTGTACCTAATGACTGGGATTGCCCAGGTGTTGATTGCCTTTATGGTATTTCCTCCATTGAGTTTGGATTTTAAGATCTTCTTCACTCTCTTGATGTATTCACCTCTAATTTTTTCTTGACTTCAGTGTGCTTGATGTTGTCAGCTTGAAGGATACCCAAGTATTTGTAGTACTCTTCCTCATCCAGACTCTTAATGTTATTTTCGTGGGGCATCTTGATTCCTTCAGTTTTCATTATTTTTCCTTGTTTGATAGTAAGTGTGGCACATTTGTCCAAGCCAAACTCCATTACAATATCTTGGCTATATATACGGACAGTGTTGAGCAGCGATTCTATTTCAGATGATGTTTTTCCATACAGCTTCAGATCATCCATATAAAGGAGGTGGGATAGTCTGGCAGATGTTTTTGATGTTTGATAGCCATGTCCTGAGTTATTCAGTATTGTTGACAGAGGAAACAGTGCAATAACAAATAGTAATGGTGATAATGAATCTCCTTGAAATATTCCTCTCTTGATATTAACCTCTCCCAGCCTCTCACCATTGATCTGCAACTGTGTCTTCCATTGTGCCATCGATCTTTGCACAAATTTTCTGATGTTTCTACTGACTCCTGTTATTTCTAGGCACTTTATTATCCAATCATGTGGCAGAGAGTCAAATGCCTTTTTGTAGTCAATCCATGCCACATTCAGGTTGGTCTTCCTTCTCTTGCAGTTTTCCAAGATCATTTTGTCTATTAGGAGTTGATCTTTTGTTCCTCTGCTATTGGGGCGGTTTCCTTTCTGCTCAGGTGGAAAGAGATTGTTTTCAACTAGATGCTGTTGTACTGCATCAGCTACCACACCAGTTAGTAATTTGAAAGTTGTTGGTAAGCAGGTAATTGGCCTGTAGTTACCTGGTGTTGCCCCTTTTGCTGGATTTTTCATTATTAGGTAGGTTTTCCCAGTTGTTAGCCACTTTTCAATTTCTCCTCCTTGTAGTATATTGTTGAACTGCTTGGCAATGAGTGGGTGTATAACAGTTAGATGTTTCAACCAAAACCCATGCAGTTCATCTTCACCTGGTGCTGACCAATTTTTGATTTTCTTTGCTCTTTTTTCTACCATTTTTGTTGTTATTACTAGTTCTTTCATTTCAACTTCTGTTTTATTTGCATCTACCTCTTTTAACCAAGCCGCATCCTTGTTGTATTTCTTTGGGTTATCCCATATCTGCTTCCAGAACTGCACTGTTTCTTCCTTGTCAGGTACTGACTGATTCCTTGCAGTTTCTCCATTGATGGATTGGTAGAAACGTTTCTGATTGGATTGAAATTGGAGGTTCTGCCTATAGTTTGCAATTCGAGCTTCATATCTACTGATTTTCCTGGCTATAGCTGTTATTTGTTGCTTTATTATTTCCAGTGCTTCCTTGATCTTCCTTGTTTCTAAGTGGTATTTCTTGATTAGGTATTCTTTGGTCTTCTTGTTCTTCAGCTTCTTTTCTTTCATCTGTTCTAGCTTGCTTGCATGTGATCTTAACTTGCTGATCTTATTTTCTAGTCTAACCTTCCATTTTTCTGGTGCACTGTTTGTTTGTTTTTCTTCTTTGTTGATTTTGCATCCCAGGTATTCTGTTATAACTGCAGCTGTGCTGTACATTAGTTGGTTTGTTTCTTGCAATGAATTGGTGCTTATACTTGATATTGCAATATTTGCATCTTTTAATGCTTGTGCTAGCTGTTTCTTTGGAACAAGCTTCAATGCAGGTAGCCTTATTCTGTTGTTTTTGTGCTGTTCTAGATGCTCAGTTATTCTTTGTTTCAATTCTTTTATTTCTTTAGTTAGAGGGTTTTGTTCTTCCTGAGGAAGAGGTGCCTGGTTTCCAAATGAGAACAGTTGTATATCTCTGCTGGATTCCTTCACTGCCAACTCCCCCTGGTTTGCCTCTACATTCTGAATTACTTCTGGTAAGGCTTTGATTTCTTTGCCCTGGGTAAACCTTTGCAGTTCGTTCAATTCTGTTTCTGTGAATACTTTATTTCGTGTTATAAATCGGCGTTGATCTGCTAGTCTCTGTTCTGTTATTTCTGATTCTGGATGTTGTTCTTTCCAGAACTGGTGCATTCGTTTTAGATATCCTCTTCTTGTTGGACTTGATCTGTAGTAACAGATCATTATTTCTTTGTTTTCCATCACTGTGTATCTGCGACGGGTAAACACCTTTTCTTCCAGTAGTTCTGCAGCTGCTGGCCCTGGTTGCTCAGCCAACAGTCCTGAGTCCTGTAACCCATTTTTCACCAGATATCCAGGAACTCCAATATCTAGTGCGGACCTTGTTAACCCGGGCGACGTCCGAGCCGGTATGGCATTCTGAAATTTACGTCTCACCATATTTTTTATGGGAGAGACACTCTTTGTCTGATTCCTCTGATGAGACCTGTCCAGTATGGTTGAACCTCTAGCATAGCTCTCATCTTCCTCAGAGTACACAAGCCCCACAACCACGTCAAGTATTATTATTATTATTATTATTATTATTATTATTATTATTATTATTATTATTATTATTAGGGAGAGAGCACTCCTTGACTGCTGTTCACCCTTACAATACCTTTCCTACAAGATAGACCACAGTGGGGTAGCCTTCTGGCTGTGAATCTGTACCCTACTTTCTCACAGCTTTTCCAACCTGCCTTGCATTCTTTTTAAAGTATGATGACTAGAACTGCATTTTTCTGTGTGCTCTTCCATGCATAGAGGTTTTATTACTTCCAGCATAACCTACCAGAGTTGGGGACAGGAATAAGACAGTGCTTACCATGTAGTAAATTTGCCTCCTCAGTCCTTTGTTCTTATACCTGCAAGAAATATTTTTTGATCATCTTAGGGAAGGTATGGGTGATGTTCACCCGATGCACTTACAATTAATGAACCGTGGTTTATTCAAGTGAGGCTGGGTTTGCACTGCCATGCTAGGCTGAAATGTGGGGGTGTACAGGGATCTCTGAAATGTCAGGACAGTGTCATTCTGCGCTGTTTGTGAAATCCTGAAAGGGAAGAAGAATGGCTCCTTTGGGCTCTGTCAACAAACATTGCTTTCACTGAATTGGGCAAAAGTCAATGTCTGCCAGGGAGGGGAACCAAGATGAAGGAACTCTGTACAGTATTTTCTGTTCATCTGCCTTGGGAGCCATCTATTGACAAAACTTGGTATTACCTGCAGAATATAACCAGGCTCCAGAGTGGAGTTCAGTGGCTGACTCTCATCCTGTTGTGTCTGCTCTCCAATGCTATCTGGGAGCTTGAAGCCAAAGTGATCTTCTCCCCGGCTGCTTCCTTCTCTTCAACAAATACCTTGAAACTTATCTGCAAGAATTTACACTGAAATACCCGCACCTATACCTTTTCAGGAATGAAAAGTATTTTTTTCTGATATTCATTTAGTAAAGTGAGCACAAAGTGTCCCAGGAGTGGTATCTTTTTTAAAAAACAAACAAACAAACAAACCACTACAGAGCAGCATTGCCTTTCTTTTAGAGAATAAACCTTTTATTTTAACTGTCTTTGTTTTGGAAACAATTTTCTAATTAGGCTTTTACAATGATTGCTGATTAGGAAGCAGTTTCATAAAGCAAGGGGACTCCTACACTCTGGCCACCCGGCCACATTCTGATTAAGGATACTCTGTAGCTGCAAGCAGGGCTTCTGTCAGCCTCCAGACGCTCACCCCATCCTCAGGGCTTGTTTAAACCAATTGAACTTCTATTGCAGCCATCTCAATAGTGAAATTGAAATTTTCCTCCTTGGGTGGAATATTTATCCAGTGACAATATCTAGCTAATAAAATCTTAAGGGCAGATGAGATGTGAGTCCTCCAAATCTGGCTGCGAAGGCCAGTCTTCACATTGAAAAGATAAGGCGCTGGCAGTATTAAGCCTTGAGTAGAGGTGCTTTAGCTCTGGGTTCATATGAGGAAGATACCTTGTTGCAGAGGGAGTGAACAGATCTGAACAAGGCAATGGTTTTCTGTTAGGAGAGCACTATATTGCTAAAGCTGAGTTCTTGCTACATGCAGACACAGTCCTGGGTAATTATGTTAGGCACTGTTTCATACCTGAAGGAGTAGCCACCATCTGAGGTGGTACGGACCCTCAGAGACTGCATTGTGCCTGGCAAGGCAGCACAACAATTCTGGGAGTTGGGAATGTATGTGTGAGCGCCAGAACAATTTCCATGACAGTAATAAAACATAAAGCTGCTAGGATGCACGATCCAATTGTCCCATCCTAGTTCTTCAAAAGAGATGTTGATGGAGGTGCGGTGGCAGTTGGGATGGGCCACAGCATTGTGCTGGAACATTGCTGTGAGATTAGCTATGATTCTTGAGGGGCTCTCGGTCTGGTCCTGTGCCTTGGGTTTGGTGGTTGCCACAAGGAAAGGTATCTTTGCAGCATCAGCCACACAGGGGCAGCCTAGGCAACGAATGAAGAGCACAAACACATTCTGGAAAAGATAATGGAAGAAGGAGCTTCTAAAATGAAAGGCGGTCCAGCCCTCAGAAGCTGGCACTGCCATGGTAGCTAGTGGAACCTGGCCTTCTTCAGAGAGCATCAGTATCTCTGCCTCTGGGGAGGAGTTGTTGGAGGCAGCTTCTAAGGGGCTGCTCTGAACTACTACAGGGCCTGTGTAGAACCACAGCTGGACTGATGTCACCTCGTGACTCAGGATATGAATTGAGGATTGAAAAATGTAGGTGAAAACTCCCCTATGCTCTGGAAGCCCATCTGGCTGAAGTCGCTCACAGAGTACACCTGCAAAATAGGAGAGGGATTAATGGGTCTCAGCATTACATACGGTAGGCTACCATTTCTCCTAGCCTGGAAGAAGAAGTGAAGGAAGATGACTTTGTAATCTCCTTCCTCTGTGTATGTTTGTGTTCAGCCCTTACTTCATAGAGCATTTTGCTATTGTATTGATTTAGATCTATCACTGATTTTGCACATACCTGCTTTGTGTTTGCTTCAGCATTCCTTGACAAGACAATTGCTGGGTTTGTATAACTCACTAAGCATAATTTATTAAAAACCTTTTATATAATAAACCATAGTACCTGGACTCACATCTGTAAATCATTGTGTACCAGGCCACATTTCTGGCTTCACCCAAATGCTAAACTAAAACCACACAGATCAGATTATGGCTTTGCAGTTGGCTAATGTGCACCATTTCCTAGCTATCTAAAATGTTAAAATGGAAAGCTGATTTTCAAGATGCCCAGGTGCTGTGTGAACAATCTGCTAATATTCCTAGCCTGCTGTACCGAGGCAAGAGGTTTTTACAATGAGCATCTGGCCTTATTTTAGAAAAAGAACAGGTATTCACATCTGATGCTGAATAGATCTTAACACGATTGTCTTAATACTGTAGGTAAATATCTGCAATGAAGTTAAAGCTTACTCATGCCATGCCTGCAATAGAATGGCCAACCATGCAAATTATAAAAATTGGTGCCTGGAAATAACAGTATTCTTGTGACACATTTGAAATTGTCTTTATTTGCTATATTGAATATTGGCAAACTATTTTGTTCCTATTTCTGCATTCCGGAAACCAACTGATAACTCCATGTTGCCATCTCTCCCTCTCTGTCTCTCCCCCCCCCCCGCCGCCTTTCTCTCTCTCACACACACAGACACACACACATTTTCTCTCTTTCACCCAAAGTGGTCAACACTGATCCCCAAGAGTTGATGGGAGTATCTAAGGGATTGATAAATGTCTTGGATCAATAGGTGATCAATAAATGATGGAAGATCAGTTGGGGTCAATTAAGGTCTATGCCAGTCGTAGTCCTCAAGGTGAGGTGGCTAGTAGTGGGACAATATTACCTGGGATTGGATGGTCAGCCACCAGTGAGAATAGTCTTGTTTACTCTATTATTTATTGTTGTAGTTGTATTCATAATTATTCATAGTACTATCAGTAAATGTAGTATTTATTAAATTATTTTTATGAAATAAATATTTGGAGGTCAATGAACAGGTCAGAAACTTCATGAAAGACTCAATGAACTGAAGAGTTTGGGGACCCCCAATTATACCATCTACATTTATACCTTTTTTTCCCCTCGTCAGTTCAATTGTGTCTGATTCTTGAAGACTGCCTGGATAGGTCTCTGCAGTTTTCTTGGCAATGTTTCAGAAGTAGCTTATCATTGCCCTCTTCTTAGGGCTGAGAAGAAGTATCTAGTTCAAGGTCGGTCACCTAGCTGGCTTTCATGGCCAAGATAGGGCTGGAATCACAGTCTCCTGGTTTTTAGCCTGGTTCCTTAACCAAAATGGCTCTCCTCTATATCTTTATCAATACCTACACTGTATCTAGTTCTGTTCCTGTGTCCTTTGCTGTAGCTGAATATACTTTTATTAGGGCAGGTACAAAAAATTCAGCTCTTTCTTTTATTAGTTTAATAACTGGCTGGAGTTGCTATATGCTTATATTGTAGGAGGAGAGCAGTGTTAAGCTGTGATAGCAAAAAAATCAGGATGAAACTGATACCACCTGTTCTGACTTACCTATTTTATTAAAAGGCATAAGCTCATGCCTTTTAATAAAATTTGTTTTTCAGAAAAGATGCTACCAACCCTTTTCTGATTATATATTTATAATGTGACACAATAGCAAAGTCTTGCAGTTGCAGAAACTGAATCCCATACAATATTGCCTGACTTACTGTTGAAATTTTTCATCTGTATATTAATATATATGTATTCATAATGCACACCTGTATGTTAATACTAAATAAATACAAAATAAAGCACTGGGGAAGCTAGAGCTGCCAAAACTGGGCTGCCAAAATCTGGACAGCCACTAGATGGCAGAAAAGAGATACAGAAAACCACAATTTCTTTCTTCCTGTAAAATGGAAATCTGGAACTCAGATACAGCAACACTAGCAAAGCTGTAAAAGAATATGTGTATGTGCAACATCTCATTTCCTATTCAGACACAAACCCACGTCAATAATCTGGATTGGGGGAAGTTGAGATCTCGTTCAAAGGTATATCTTAAGGAGGCAATTCTACACACAAGCACCTTCAGAATCTAAAATAGTGGGTTTATGTTAGTGTAACAATAAGCTTAGGTTGCAAGTTCATTATGAAGTCACAGTAAAATATTACCTGCCTATTCTGAAGTAAGTCTCATTGAGTTCAGTAAGACTAACTCTCAAATAAAAAAATGCAGATTGTGGTTGAAACAATATACTTTATTATCTGGAAATAAGTCCAACTGAATCCAATTAGAGCTATATTTAAGGTCATATAAAGATCTCTGGTTAATTGTATTAAATTCAGTGGGACTTCTGAAAAACTAGAAAAAAAATACTAGGATACCTGAGAGCTCCCACATTCACGTCAGCTGGATTTGAATTGCTGAATCTAGCTTAAATTTCTGCTATAGCTGGAATAAAATCAAAATGTGTGTGTGTGTGTGTGTGTGTACATCTCTGGCATGAAGTTCACTGCTATATGATTTGATAGAATCATACAGTTGGACATGACCTAAAAGATCATCTAGTCCAACCCTCTGTCTGTGCAGGATCCACAACTTGACTTCACTATTTGTTCCTGCATCTGTTGAAATGGGTTAGAATGATAAAATAATGATTGCCCTGTCTTCATCAGGGCACTTTTTCTATTCCTTTGGTTTTAAATCTCCCAGGACCCCTTGAGTCATGGTTCTGCTTACCTTGGATTGGGAAGACAATCACTTGGGATATGTGTTCTTCCTCCAAGCTGCGAGTCTCTGTTGTGTCCAAGGCATGCCGTCTGTGAAGCCCCCTTCGTCCCTCTTGGACCTTTTCATTTTGGGGGACAGGACCAAGGAAATCCAGGAAATGTGCCTTGACTTTAGCCAGGATGAGTTGCCTCTCAGCATCCCTGTTGCAGCCAGCAACAGCAGCAGGACACAGCAAAATCAGCTGCAGGATCAGCATGGAGTTCATCCTGGTCCAGATATGCAGAGAGCCTGGATCCATCATATACAAGGGAAAGATATGCAGGATGTGTGAAGTTCTGGCAAAGAAAAAAAAAAGTTCTTGCCTGCAGGTAAGGGCTCAGGCTGAGGCACTGTTCCCAGGTATTGCTTGGTGGTTCAGAATGTGTGCAGGGAAGTTCTGCCTTGTAGATGAGGCTGTCTGGCTCTTCGGATGAATCTGCCCAGCTCCTTCTGCCTCCTGATTTCTTTACTGAGCCAAGCTGGGGCATGATGGCATTGAGACTATCTGTCACTGACGCAAATGTCTGCTAGCCATGAATATTATCTCCTGGGCAGCAAAAACACAGGAGACTGTCTGGAATGCAAGGACGGTGTTGCCTAGGGGACAGGACCTGGAGCAGAGTACTCTGGAGGAGAGATGGACGTAGTCCCCAAGTTGTCAACACGGGAGCAGTAACAGAGGGGTGATTCTCCTTAGTTTCTTATTGGACTGTCTGAAATTCAGGGCTGTCAAAGTGTTATTTTCAGTGGGGGCCTGATCATTCTCCTCCATCCCAGGCAGTTTTCAATCTAGCTCTAAGTCATTCATATAACATTAAATTCTGCATCAAAGACTTAGTGGGCAGTTTACAAATGTTTCACATATGTGCACAAGCTCACAATTTGCAATCCAGACACTTTCCCTCCCTGGTTCAGTATTCAAAAGGCTCCTCATGCATTGGAATGACCTTTAAACATATATTTGAAAGATATATAAATTCTACCTATGATCACACTGAGTAAGGATGTAATATGGGTGTTACAAAGCAATAAAATTGCTTGTGAATATAATGAGATATTTGTATGATCCTAAAAATGAAATGACACACATCTTAAGGCTGCCCTTTCAATCATTGCTCATGATTATAAATTGCCTCCTAGCCTGGCTATATAGGGTGTCTAATCCTAAAAGAGAAAAAAAAATATCTTTGGTTGCTTTTGTAACCCATTTTTTTATTGCCTCAGATTATTGATTTCTCTAACTCAGTACTGTACTGTAGGGCTAACATCCAGTTGCAGAAATCTGGATAACCAGACGACACCAAGCAGATATGTCTCTGAATTTCTCTGTTCCTATTTAGTGATCTTTTCATTTTTTGACTCAAGATACAAAAACCTTAAACTGGACAGGGTGGCCTAGTGGTTAAACTGCTGGGCTTGTCGACTGGAAAGTTGGCAGTTCAAGACCCGAGTATCATATGATGGGGTGAGCTCCCAATCGTGCCCTAGCTTCTGCTAACCTAGCAGTTTGAAAGCATACAAATGCAAATAGATAAACAGGTACCACTTTGGTGAGAAGGTAACAATGTTCCGTCTGCCTTGGTGTATAGTCATGCCAGCTACATGGCTGTGGAAGTGTCTTTGGACAATGCTGGCTCCGTCAGCTAGGAAATGGAGATGAGCATGGCCCCTAGAGTTGGACATGACTGAGTATGTCATGTCCGTTACCTTTTCACAGAAACTTTAATTATTTATATCACTAGTTTTTCAGTACATGAAGAAAGGTCTTTTTAATATAGATCTTCATCTGCACTGCCCAGAGTCAGGACCTGGGACTTTCAGTAGCTAGGAGCCTGTCTTCTTTTGTACTATATAACTGACTGAAAAGAATACATCTCTATATTATTTAAATGCACCCCACCTTTTTAGGTTTTTACCCAAGCCAAAGAGTCTTCTGTTATAGCAACTCCATCTGTCAAAGTTAATACAACTCTCAAAGCAGAATCTCAGTAACTGTTTTAGTCACCTTCATAAGGAGACGCAATCCGAATACAGCATTAAACATTTGGTACAATAATACACTGCATTTGGGGTAGAGAAGTTATTATTAAATCACCTTTATGAAGGTCCACAAAAGATAAATCTTTATAGTCCTTTTTAAATGTTGATAACTCAGATTACAGGACCTGGTTTCAGATGAGAAAAGTTTATCATATAATTGTGGCTATTTTAGTGGCAGGATCACAATCAGATTAGGCATAAGGCACCTCAATCAAATATTCAAAATAACTGAGTATGCTTATGCAAGGCCCAATGTACTGGCACCAGTAATTGAAACTTCTCTGGATATCCACCTAATATATGGATGTATGATAGATGGAAGGAGAGATGCTTTGGAAAAGATCTGAATCAGTATGAATAGTGCATGAGGAGCATGAGGAGCTTATGGATCATTTCAGTAATTCAAGGAAAACTATGCTTTTTGGTGGTTTCATTGATGAAAATTCATAAAGAGGGTTCTTCCTTGATCTGCATTCCTTGATTTCTCACTACAGAGTAGGCCCATGGCCTTCAGCCCTGAAAGTAAAAAAGAGGAGCTGGAAAGAGAGGAGATGGATGGTTAGGGTGAAATGCAGCCATCTTTGCTTTCTTATGCTCAGTTTGAGGTAAGAGAACCTGACCAAGACCCTTTGAAAGCACTTGCAAAGAGGTTCATGTATTAGGTCATCCAGAACAAAATAATATATTGTCAGCATAGACGGGACAATTAGACTGACGAGAAGAAATTAAATAATTCAAAGCAAATGAAAGGGAACCTACACTGAGGCCTGAAATATACAGCTGAAGACACAGGTTGGGAGATAGAACTCATTCCATACAACAGAAAAGAATCAGAGAAATAACTATATCCCGAATCATTGCCCTAAGAAAAACCTCAGGTGAAACATTAATAGTTAATTGATAGTTCAAGGTATCAGATGTAGCACAGAGATCTAATCAGACCAGCATTGAAAACAGATGGTCTGCTTTGGCCATGGCTGATCGTTAATAATATGAGTCATTGCTAGTTTGGTACAATATCCCATGCTGAAAACCTTAAATTTGTTTGTGAAATTGTTGATGGTAATGTGAAGAAGGAATTGAGAGAAAGCTACTGTTTTAAGGGATTGAATAAGAACGGAAGGAGAGACACCAGATGAAAACTGAAGGACTGTAGCTCTGTATGCCTTTTTAAATAGAGGATGAAGATAAGCATCTTTTACACTATGTACAAACTGGTTGAGATGCCTGGAAGTTGTAGTTTAACAAACCATCTGGAAATCCACAACTTCCCCTCCCTATACTGTAATAAATGAACAAATCATTTTTGACTCATTTTTTTCTCCACTGGGTTCTCTTTATCTAGTTTTAGGATATGTGGAGAATAGATCATGTTTTAAGACATATTTTTATAGAAATGTTGAAAAATCAAAAGGGTTCACAAACTTCTAAGCTCTATATGTGAAAAGCAACACTGATAATTGAACATTGCTACATGGGAAAGCTAACATTACAGTATTGGTAGTGTTCTCCACTTCTTTTCTCTTTAAAACTGTGTAAGTACCTCCCTGGTCTAGAGGTGCAGCATGAGGACTAAGAAAAGGCAAATAAATCAGTTGGCAGAGCAACACAACCCAATGGAAGCAGAGATAATAACTCAAATTATTCTTGCAAAATAGAGTTTATCTGCACTGGATTCTGACTGAACATGGGAGGATAGAAGCAGCTTTATGTTAGATGTTACTGCACCCTAAAATTATTGCCACAATTCAGGCAGGACCCGTCTTATGGTTCAGATAAGAGTTATGTGAAATAATAATAAATAATAATAAATAATCCTAGTTATGTTAAAATCTCTGGGCCCTTCAGAAAAATAAAGCAAGGGTGAGGGAGATGCAGATGGTGGTAAAGTTGCCTTAGGATTTTATTGCATCTAGTCCAGGGGTCGGGAACCTTGGCTCTTTTATGACTCATGGACTTCAACTCCCAGAATTCCTGAGTCAGCATAGCTGACAGGAATTCTGGGAGTTGAAATCCATGAGTCATAAAAGAGTCAAGGTTGCCAAACCCTGATCTAGTCCATCAGGAAGTAACAGTGGAATGACTGATTTCCTGGACACTGGTCAACAGTAACATCAGACAACACAGGTGTCATATGAACATGTTCCCACACAGTTTCCTCACCTTTTATACTTCCCTGAATTCAAAGAACCACAGCAAACAGCAGAATCAATGATAACACTCCCCCCCCCCCAGTATGTACAAGAAAGTATTAACATTTCAAAGCCACAGAGTCTGAAGTGGTCTTAAAGAGGATCAAATTCACAGAATTTGAAAATTGTTAGAGTGGAATTAAGCCATTAAATTCAATCTTCTGATCGTTGCAGGAATTCAGACAGAAGTATCCCAGAGATATACGCTCTCTAGTTTCCACATGAAGTGAGAGGGAGGGAATCATCTGCCTCTCTGGGCACTTGATTCCACTGTCATATTGTTCTTACTGAAAGATTCTCAATTTGGTGTCTGATGTTCTGTAATGTAAACCCAATATTTCACATCCTTGCCTTCTGGAGAACTTTATTACACGTGGCTTCCTCTTAAGTCTTAAGCAATTTGATATTATATCCCCCCTCTATCTTTTCTTAAGACTAATCTTTCTTATTTCTTTCAGTCTCTCTTCACAGGATTTTCTAGTTCCTTAATCCTCATTATTGGCTAAACCTTTCCAATTTGTCTGACTGCTGTTTATGAACAATGCAGATTATAGCAGTCGTTTTCTTTCTGTAATTTGGAAAGTATATATCTATAACTAATGTGGCTGAACATATAAGAAGTAGCTCTGCAGCCAAATTACACTCCTGACAAGCACATTCATAATCACTTTTTATATGTGATTTTCAAGCCAGCTACGTATCCAGTTAATTGTCATGCCATCTAACCTAAACTACCATGCTAATCAAAATACCATGGGATACTTCAAGTACTTTGCTGAAACCAATATATAACTGCATCCAGTTTTGGTCACCATGATGTAAAAAAGATGTTGAGACTCTAGAAAGAGTACAGAGAAGAGCAACAAAGATGATTAGGAGACTGGAGGCTAAAACATATGAGGAACGGTTGCTGGAATTGGGTATGTCTAGTTTAGTGAAGAGAAGGACAAAGGGGGACATGATAGCAATATCTCAGGGGCTGCCACAAAGAAGAGGGAGTCAAGCTGTTCTCCAAAGCACTTGAAAGCAGGACAAGAAGCAACAGATGGAAACTTATCAAGGCGAGAAGCAACCTAGAACTAAGGAGAAACTTCCTGACAGTTAGAACAATTAATCAGTGGAACAACCTGCCTTCAGAAGCTGTGAATGCTCCAACACTGGAAGTTTTTAGGAAGAGACTGGACAGCCATTTGTCTGAAATGGTATAGGGTTTCCTGCCTGAGCAGGGGGTTGGACTAGACCTCCAAGGTCCCTTCCAACTTTATTATTATTATTATGTTTATAGAATTTGCACCACTTATAATGGAAATTTGTATCTAATAAAAAAATCAGATAAGGCTAGTCTTGCAAATCCATGCTA